AACCCAGGGCCTCAGGCATGCAAGGCAAGAGCTCTACCACTGAGACACCTTCCCAGCCCAGACATGACTTTCTTTGAGGAAACCCTGGGACCCCAATGCTGGTGGCTCACATCTGTAATCCCAGCTACTCAGGAGGCTGAGATTTGGAGAATGGAAGTTCAAAGCCAGTCCAGGAAGAACCCTCTGCAGGATGCCAGGCTGGAAGTATGGCTCAAGTGGTAAAGCTACAGCTGAAAAAAGCCAACCAAACGAATATGAAGCCCTGAGTTCAAGACCTGTAGCAAACACAAATTTAAAAAGAACTGGGCAGGGCTGGGAAGGTGGCTCAGTGGTAGAGTGTTTGCCTTGCATGCATGAGGCCCTGGGTTCGATTCCTCAGAACCACATAAAGCAGAAAAAGCCAGAAGTGGCGCTGTGGCTCAAGTGGTAGAGCCCTAGCCTTGAGCTGAAGAGCTGAGGGACAGTGCCCAGGCCCAGAGTTCAGGCCCCATGACTGACAAAAATAAAGAAAGGAATCCTGCCCATGTAATTGTAACCCCTCTGTACAGTATGTTCACAAATAAAATTAAATTAAATTAAAAAAAATAAAGAAAGAAAGAAAGGAAGGGAGGGAGGGAGGGAGGGAGGGAGGGAGGGAGGAAGGAAGGAAGGAAGGAAGGAAGGAAGGAAGGAAGGAAGGAAGGAAGGAAGGGAAAGAAAGAAAAAGAAAATGAGCTGGCACCAGCAGCTCATGCCTGTCATCTAGCTACTCAGGAAGGCTGAGATCTGAGGATCACAGTTGGAAGCCAGCCTTGGCAGAAAAATCTGTAAGACTCTTATCTATTAATCACCAGAAAACTGGAAGTGGAGTGGTGGCTCAAAGTGTTGAGTGCTAGCTTTGAGCTAAAGAGCTCAGGGACAGCGCCCAGGCCCCACAACTGACCCCCACAAAAGACTCACCTCTTCCAGCCCCACAAGCCAGCTCCTGGGCATTCTCAGAGAGGGCTCCCCACCCACTCTGCCAATCCACCATCCAGGTGAAGGCAAATGCTCCCCAAAAAGCCTCCAAGGAACAACGGGCGAACACATGCAGCTGTAGCATTCACCATACACCCTGTGGAAAATGAACTATACAACACATGGGTGGAGAGCGGAGAGAGAAACAGAGAGAGCAAGAGAAGCAGCCACACTGCTCAAAAAGAAATGTCCTCGTTGCTGGATGCTGGTGGCTCACGCCTGTAATCCTACTCAGGAGGCTGAGATCTGAGATCACGGATCAAAGCCAGCCGGGGCAGGAAAGTCCATGAGACTCTTATTTCCAATAAACCACTAGAAAACCGGAAGTGGCGTTGTGGCTCAAGTGGTAGAGCACTCGCCTTGAGCTGAAGAGCTGAGGGACAGCACCCAAGCCCAGAGTGCAAGCCCCAGCCAGGACCAACCAAAAAAAAAAAAAAAAGATGTACTCACTGACTTACATAACTGTAACCCTTCTGCACATCACCTTCATAACAGCAATAAACAAATTATTAAACAAACAACAGCAGCAGCCCTGCCTGTCACCCAGTCCTGCTAAGATCTGCCCATCCCCTGCTAGTGAGCCATGGCCAGGGCACCTGCAGCCACCTTCAATCTGCCAGGCAGAGCTGAACTTGTCATAGCCAGGGGAAACTGAGGCTCAGAGACACCAAGTGATGTGGCCTCCGTCACACAGCTGAGAAGCAACGGAGCCTGGGTTCAACATCACACCACACCCTGGACCCCAACTCTGAACATACTCAAAGGTTTATACAGAGATGGGGGGCAGGGGTCGGGCAGGGGTCTAATAGTGGGTGCCCCTTCCCTTCCTCTGCCCTTGCCCCCCACCTCTGTTTGGCCCAAGAGAAATCCTTGTCCTGGCTCTTCCTCCCAGATGACCCCAATGCAGATCAAGAGGCTCATAGGTCATCGCCCAGGTGGAGCAGTGCAGCCCTGGGCACCAGCTTGCCC